GGTTATTTGAAAAAGGCATTGTTTGTTTTGGGGTGAAAGGTAATATCATTTAGATAACACTATTTATTAGAGAGAGAAAAAGCCAGTTTTTGATTTGTTTTTTTTAATTGCTCCCATTAGAAAATATATAAAGATGTAGTGAACTACAATTCCCAGAATGGTGGGTCAGTCCTCTCCAAACCAGGCCTGTATGCACAGTTGCATCCAAGTTTAGTCCAAATCTGACATTGGGTGGGTTCAGTGCTCTTTGGATGCAGGTGAACTACAACTCATGGATTCCCAGGGCAGTCACACCCAAAACCTGCCTGTATTCACAGTTGGATCTGTTTGCCAAGTTTGCTGAGCTACGACTCCTATAAATCAAGGTCAATTCCCCCCAAATCTCTTGTTCAGTTGCTGATCAATTCCTGTTTGCTGTGTGCCATAGGAAAGAGTAGGAAAGGGTTAAGGGAAAGGCAGTGAGTGGAGTCATGCAAATTCCACACCCATGGAGAGAGAGAAAGGAACCCCGGAATGTCCATTCTGAAGGAAAAACAGAACATCTAGGATGAGATTGTCCCCGAATGAAAGCATTCCTCAGGTGGTGGGCAGGATGGTGTTTGGGGAGGACACTGGCAGGGATTGGGAGACATGTTCATGGGGCCAGTACAACCTCAAATGTCCTTAAAAGGAGTGCTTTGGGTGGCTCCTCAGCACTCTGAGTTAAAGCTGTTTGTGGAGGCGGAGACTGTCTGTGTAAGTGGACACCTCCATCACATACACACATACACATTTTCACTTTAATTGTGTGTATAGAAGATAGATGGATAGATGATACAGCAATAACTAGCTTAGCTAGAAGGAGATATAATGCAAATATGTTTGAATGGTTTTAACTCTGAATCTTTTAATACTGTTTCCATTTAGTTCTGTTTTAATATTTGTATATTTTAAGTGGTATGCTCACGTTTTTATGTAAAGTCACTTTGAGACTATCTTTAAACCCTTAGCCTTCCTCAAAATGTGAGACATTATATGCAGGACTATGGTCCAACATTTCTATCTTCAGCCCTCCCACTGAAATTCTCAGGGTGGTCCACGAGAAGGCCTTACTGGTACGTGGTACGGTGGCACCTTTGTCCGCACCTGGGCCCTCGGTGCACTCTCTTTCCTTTTTGGTGCCCCAGTTTTAGCCTTCGGTGCCAGGAGAGGAAGGGGAGTGCACCGACAGCCCAGGTGCAAAAGAGGATGCCGCCGCACCACAGACCATTTGGAGGCCGCAATAGGCCTTTGCGCCCGTGCACTTGACAGGCCTTTGCACCCATGCACGTGGCAGGCCTTTGTGCCTGTGCGTTGAAGTCTTGCCACACTTGTGGCTGGGAGTGGAGTGCGTCGCGCCCGTGGCCTGCCTTCTGGGACTCTCTGGATTCAGGTAAACAACAATTTATTTATTATTATTACAGCTTTTATATTCCGCCCTTCTCACCCCGCAGGGGACTCAGGGCGGATTACAGTGTACACATATATGGCAAACATTCAATGCCAATTTTTGACATACAAACATATACTGACATACACAGAGGCTATTTAACTTTTTCTGGCCGCCAGGGGAGCTGTCGCTTTCATCGTCCATCTGCGACGCTGATGAAGCACTTCCGCATTCCCCGCATGCTTCCCCGCTGGAATGCTTTGCTGGAGTCTTCTTTATGGCCTCATAAATCAGTTAATTTAGCCTCCCCACACTTTTAAGGTGGTACCTAATTTTCCTACTTGACAGATGCAACTGTCTTTCGGGTTGCAAAGGTCGACAACAGGCTACACACAATTGGTTGTGAAGTTGAGCATGCCTCCCCTCTAACAAGGGATGGTGACTTATAGTTCTGCAAAGGACAAAGGTACCAGGCTGCACAATAGGGGTTAAGTGTGGCCAATTGAAACATTCACACCTACCTCAAACAGACAAAGAGTTCTTTCTCCCACCCTGGACATCATTTCACAGAACTGAAAGCCTTACTCCACTGTTTTATCCTGCTTGGGCTCCCCAAATTACATATTTTTTATTCCTACCTCACCTAGGGTTTTATCATTTTATCTCGTCCTTTTGGCCTGCCATTCTGTTCGATTTTATATCATGTCGTTTGCTTTATGACTTTATATTTGCTATTGTAATTATTTTCTGATGTAATTTTTGTTTTCTGTATTCTGTATTTTATTGTGTTGTATTGTATTTTGGGGCTTGGCCTCATGTTAGCCACTCCGAGTCCCCATTGGGGAGATGGTCGTGAGCTATAAATAAAGATGATGATGATGATGATGATATTATTATTATTTTGTTCATGAAAATGAACAAAATCTGGCTACCAGTATTAAAAATCTCTAAAATTATAACAGTAAATAAAGAACAACACTCAAAAACGGGGAACTCCAGACAAGAAACAATCAGGGACAGCTAATCACCTCTCAACAAAGGATTCTTCCAGGCAGTAACAAGCCACACCTTGAAACTGTCAGGCCATCAAATGCTAATTGAGGTGGTCAGTTGAAGCATTCTCAAGACCTGGCTCTGCCGTTGCGCTTTTGGAGAGTAGTCACATGTATGAAGGTTTGTTTACTTCTCTGTCTCTCTATGAGTTCTCCCTTACAAATAGTTCTGCCCCTTTATCTCACCCTGAGTTTTTAAAATCATTTTATGTACATGCGGCCCACTCTCTGTCATTATGTTTGATTTCTCTGTTCTGTATATATTGTTTATATACTTTGATGTTTTATACTTTAATGTTATGTTGTTTATTTTACTGCAATTTGTATTTTTGTATTGAAATTTGTTGTTTGGGCTTGGCCCCATGTAAGCTGCTCCAAGTCCCTGTTGGGGGAGATGGTTTAATTGTTTTAAACCTTTTTATTATTAACTAGCTGTCCCCTTCCGCGCGTTGCTGTGGCCCACATGGGGGTTCTGTGTGGGAGATTTGGCCCACTTCTATCGTTGGTGAGGTTCAGAATTCTCTGTGATTGTAGGTGAACTATAAATCCCAGCAACTACAACTCCCAAATGTCAAGATTCTATTTTCCCCAAACTCTAGCAGTGTTCACATTTGGGCATATTGAGTATTCGTGTAGAGTTTGGTCCAGATCCATCATTGTTTGAGTCCACAGTGAGTTCTCTGGATGTAGGTGAACTACAACTCCAAAACCAAAGGATACTGCCCACCAAACCCTCCCAGTATTTTCTGTTGGTCATGGGAGAACTGTGTGCCAAGTTTGGTCCAATTTTATTGTCGGTGAGGTTCCAAATGCTCTTTGATTGTAGGTGAACTATAAATCCCAGCAAATACAACTCCCAAATGACAAAATCATTTTTTTGAGTGAAGGACATACATTGGGTTGTTAGGTGTATTGTGTCCAAATTTGGTGTCAATTCGTCCAGTGGTTTTTGAGTTCTGTTAATCCCACAAACGAACATTACATTTTTATTTATGTAGACTAGCCGTCCCCTGCCATGCGTTACTGTGGCCCACATGGGGCTTCTGTGTGGGGGGTTTCACCCAATTCTATCATTGGTGTGATTCAGAATGTTCTTGATTGTAGGTGAACTATAAATCCCAGCAACTACAACTCCCAAATGTCAATATTCTATTTTCCCCAAACTCTACCAGTGTTCACATTTGGGCATATTGAGTATTTGTGTAGAGTTTGGTCCAGATCCATCATTGTTTGAGTCCACAGTGATCTCTGGATGTAGGTGAACTACAACTCCAAAACCAAAGGACACTGCCCACCAAACCCTTCCAGTATTTTCCGTTGGCCATGGGAGAACTGTATGTCAAATTTGGTTCAGTTCCATCGTTGGTGGGGTTCAAAATGTTCTTTGATGGTAGGTGAACTATAAATCCCAGCAACTACAACTCCCAAATGACAAAATCATTTTTTTGAGTCTTTATTTATTTTTATTTATTTATCGTGTCAGTAGCAACCAGACAATTGTATTACATTTTTAACAAGTTTTTAACAAACAGATAAAACAGAGTTTGCAAGCTTGGTAGTTGATTAAAGGTCCTTTGACCAGTATCTGGCCACTTGGAGTGCCTCTGGTGTTGCCGCAAGAAGGTCCTCCATTGTGCATGTGGCAGGGCTCAGGGTGCATTGCAGCAGGTGGTCAGTGGTTTGCTCTTCTCCACACTCGCGTGTATGGACCACTTTGTAGCCCCATTTCTGAAGGTTGGCTCTGCATCTCGTGGTGCCAGAGCGCAGTCTGTTCAGTGCCTTCCAAGTGGCCCAGTCCTCTGTGTGCCCAGGGGGAGTCTCTCATTTGGTATCAGCCATTGGTTGAGGTTCTGGGTTTGAGCCTGCCACTTTTGGACTCTCGCTTGCTGGGGTGTTCCAGCGAGTGTCTCTGTAGATCTTAGAAAACTATTTCTTGATTTAAGTCGTTGACGTGCTGGCTGATACCCAAACAAGGGATGAGCTGGAGATGTCACTGCCTTGGTCCTTTCACTATTGGCTGCTACTTTTTTTGAGTGAAGGACATACATTGGGTCATTAGGTGTCTTGTGTCCAAATTTGGTGTAAATTCATCCAGTAGTTTTTGAGTTCTGTTAATCCCACAAACGAACATTACATTGTCAAAGGCTTTCATGGCCGGAATCACTGGGTTGTTGTAGGTTTTCCGGGCTATATGGCCATGTTCTAGAGGCATTTTCTCCTGACGTTTCGCCTGCATCTATGGCAAGCATCCTCAGAGGTAGTGAGGTCTGTTGGAAGTAGGAAAATGGGTTTATATATCTGTGTAAAGACCAGGGTGGGACAAAGGACTTTTGTCTGCTGGAGCTAGGTGTGAATGTTTCAACATTACATTTTTATTTATTTAGATGATGATGATGATGATGATGATTAATATTATTCACACCTAGCTCAACAGGCAAGAGTTCTTTCTCCCACCCTGAACATTCCACAGATATATAAACCCATTTTCCTAGTTTCCAACAGACCTCACAACCTCTGAGGATGCTTGTCATAGATGCAGGCGAAACATCAGGAGGGAATGCTTCTGGAACATGGCCATACAGCCCGAAAAACCTACAACAACCCAGTGATTCTGGCCATGAAAGCCATCGACAATCATTTTACTGATTTCTTTCCTATGTGAGTTGTCAGATGACGAGTGAAGTATGTCTTCTCATTGAAACTTTTTCCACACTCCAAACACTGAAATGGTTTCTCTCCTTTATGTGCTTCCAGGTGACGAGTGAAGCTTTGCTTCCAAATGAAGCCCTTTCCACACTCTAAGCAGTTAAATGGTCTCTCTCCTGTGTGGGTTGCCTGATGAGACGTGAGGCTTATTTTGTGCCTGAACCTCTTCCCACACTCAGAGCATCCAAAGGGTTTATCCCCTGTGTGAATTCTTTGATGTGTTCGAAGTGCTGATTTTCCACTGAAGCTGTTTCCACACTCCAAGCACTGAAATGGTTCCTTCCCTGTATGATGACTAGTGAGGCTCGATTTGCGCACGAAACATTTCCCACCCGCCACATTGCGAAAGGGCTTTTCTCCAGTGTGAGTGGCTAAATGACGACTGAAGGTTATTTTGTGAGCAAACTTTTCTCCACATTCCAAGCACTGAAATGGTTTCTCTCCTTTATGTGCTGCCAGGTGACGAGTGAGGCTTTGCTTCCAAGGGAAGCTCTTCCCACACTCCAGGCATTTAAAGGGGTTCTCTCCTGTGTGGGTTGCCTGGTGACACCTGAGGCTAATTTTGTGCCGGAAAGTCTTCCCACACTCCAAGCACCGAAAGGGTGTCTCTCCCGTGTGAGTTCTGTAATGGCATGCGAGGTGCACCTTTTGAGAGAAGCTCTTCCCACACTCCGAGCACTGAAATCGTTTCTCGCCTCTGTGAGTCGCTTGATGAGAGGTGAGGCTTAATTTGTGCCTGAAGCTCTTCCCACACGCCAAGCACTGAAACGGTTTCTCTCCTGTGTGAGTTCTGCAATGACGAGTGAGGTGTGCCTTTTGAGAGAAGCTCTTCTCACACTCCGAGCACTGAAACGGTTTCTCCCCGGAGTGAGTGGCCAAATGGCGACGAAGTTTGGCTTTGTGACCAAACGTGGTCCCACATTCCAAACATTTAAATGGTTTCTCTTCTACGTGAGTGACTTGATGTGCCTTCTGATCGAGACTTTGCTCACACTCTAAGTACTGGAATGGTTTCTCCCCGGTGTGAGTCCTTTGGTGACAATTGAGGCTTACTTCTTGACTGAAACACTTCCCACAAGTCGCACATTTGAATGGTTTCTCCCCTGTATGAGTTCTTTTATGTGACAAGAGGAGGGATCTCTGCCGGAAGCTTTTCCCACACACCAAGCATTTAAATGGCTTCTCCCCGGTATGGATTCTTTGGTGTGACGTGAGGATTGACTTCTGGTTGAAGCTTTTCCCACAATCCAGACATCGAAATGGTTTCTCCCCTGAGTGTGACGAAGTGAGGCTTCCTTCCTCAATGAGTGTTTCCCCACTTTCCAAATATTGAAATGGTGTCTCACCTGTATGAGTTGCTTGATGGCAAGCGAGGCTTGTTTCTTGTGTGAACCTTATCCCACACTCTAAGCAGTGAAATGATTTATCTCCTTTATGTGCTGCCAGGTGACGAGTGAGGCTTATTTTATGCCTGAACCTCTTCCCGCACTCCGAGCATCCAAAGGGTTTCTCGCCTGTGTGAATTCTCTGATGTGACAGAAGTACCGATTTTTCACTGAAGCTCTTTCCACATTCCAAGCACTGAAAGGGTTTCTCTCCCGTGTGAGTTCTGTAATGGCGCGTGAGGTGCGCCTTTTGAGAGAAACCCTTCCCACACTCTGAGCACTGAAACGGTTTCTCCCCGGAGTGAGTCGCTTGATGAGAAGCGAGGCAGGATTTGCGAATGAAACTTTTCCCATCCTCCGGGCACTGGAAGTGTTTCTCTCCTGTGTGCGTTCTGCAATGACGAGTGAGGTGTGCCTTTTGAGAGAAGCGCTTCCCACACTCCGAGCACTGAAATGGTTTCTCCCCAGAGTGAGTGGCCAGATGGCGACGAAGTTCTGTTTTGTGACCAAACATGTTCCCACATTCCAAACATTTAAATGGTTTCTCTTCTATGTGAGTGACTTGCTGACAAGTAAGGTGTGCTTTCTGATCGAGACTTTTCTCACACTCCAAGCATTGAAAGGGTTTCTCTCCTGTGTGCGTGGCCACATGACGAGTGAGTTGTTTCTTCCCGGTGAAGCTCTTTCCACATTCCAGGCATTTAAAGGATTTCTCTCCTGGGCGCGTTCCTTGATGTGACCTCCACCTGAAGCTCTTGACGCACCCCAGGTAGTTAAAGGTTTTCTCTCTCATTTGGGAAACCAGAGACTTCCTTAAACTGGGTGTCCTTCTCCACTCACCAGCTTTGAAGGATTTCTCCTCTGGGTGAATTCGCCCATGAACAATAAGGCTTGCTTGACACCTAAAGCTTTTCCCACACAGGGGACAAAAATATTTACTTCCTTCTTTCCCTGTCATTTCTTCGACTGAGTTGTCACCCTCCTGAGAAGCAGGATATGTGTTCCTTCTCTTGCCGTTGGAATCTGATATTCTTTCGTTCCTTGTCTTCTGCTTCTGCTTCTTCCTTTGCAGGAATCCCCTACTAGGTTCTCCATTGTTCTCAATCTCTTGCTCATCCCAACCTGAAAAAGAAAAGTACAACTACTCATAGCCCAACCGCAATATAGACATAAGTCAAAGACATAACACAATTATTAAGCTGACATCGATTGGGATCAAGCTAAGGAAGCTTCTCAAAAGAGAGATGTGACTCCAGAGTCTCTGTAATGGCTCTCCTGAGAGACCAGCTCCATCAAGTCTTTCATCTTCCCTGAAAGATGTTAGAGCACCGTTTCTCAACCTGGGTGTCGGGACCGCTGGGGGGGTCACAAGGGGTGTCAGAGGGGTCGCCAATGACCATCAGAAAACACAGTATTTTCTGCTCGTCATGGGGGTTCTGTGTGACAAGTTTGGCCCAATTCTATCGTTGTTGGAGTTCGGAATGCTCTTTGATTGTGGGCGAACTACAAATCCCAGAAACTACAACTTCCAAATGTCAAGATCTATTTTCCCGAAACTCCACCAGTGTTCACATTTTGCGTATTCATGCCAAGTTTTGTCCAGATCCAGCACTGTTTGAGTCTACAGTGCTCACTGGATGTAGGTGAACTACAACTCCAAAACTCAAGGTCAATGCCCACCAAACCCTTCCACTATTTGGTTCAATTCCATTGCTCGCGGAGTTCAGAATGCTCTTTGATTGTAGGTGAGCTATAAAGCCCAGCAACGACAACTCCCAAATGACAAAACCAACCCCTACAACCCCACCAGTATTTAAAATTGGGTGTATTGGCTATTTGTGTCAAATTGGACCCCTTAATACAGCTACTGGGCACAATTCAAAGTGATGGCTTTAGCCTATAGAGCGCTAAACGGTTCCGGCCCAGTGTACATGTCCAAACATATCTCTCCCTATGAACCATCTAGGAATTT